TTAGTAAACAGGATCTATTCTAAGTTCAAACAGAATTACTCTTAATGGAGTCCGAGGCTAACAAATGATCAATGCCATGAAATTTTCTCGAAAACATGTCACCAACTGCTCCACACTGCCCTCTTCCCCTCCTGTTGTGTCTAAGTGGAGAGTGAGCACAGCACCCGGGCACCTCACTTGTAGGAGGTAGGAGAATAGCCTCACCTCCACAAGAGGGTCCGATACATGCCCAGCTCTGAAACTCCAGAAGATCCACCAGCTACAGCTAGAGCACAGGGATGGCTCTCTCCTTCACAGCGTCTCCACTGGTCCACCACCCGCACCCAGAGCACAGGGATGGCTCTCTCCCTTACAGCATCTCCACTCATGGAGGAATTTAACTGGATCTTGGTGATCCTCTACATATTAAAATCATGCTTAAGCAGCGATATAGCACAAAGAAAAAAGGGTCTATTAACTACTCCAGTTTTCTATATTCTCTCAGTTCCTTCCTATGCTAAATTATCACAATATATTTTAAAAATAAAACAAAGGGCATTCTAAAACAACTTACATTAGCATCTATGGCAGGCCCACACCATAAGTATAAAACCACTGTGTTAATTTGCTACTTAATGTGATAATACACAGTGAAGTGTTCAGAACATTGCTTGGCTCATAGTTAGTGCTCAGACATTATTATTATTTATTAATAATATTTAAAGACTAGAATATAATCAGGAAAAGTCAGCTAACATTTATTACACCTCTGTTTTATACTTAGTGCTTTGGGATGTATTGGGATATAAAGAATTAGAAAACTATGGTCATACCCTTTAAAAGCTTAAAATACACACAACCAGGGAGTTATATATAATCCATTAGGAAAAGTTCAGTAGAGTATAAGACAGCACTAGAATGAGCTAAAATACGACACCCGATCTAATACACAGTGAGAAAACGATACAATTTCCTAGCGGGGAAAGATCACGAAAACTAGAAGCCTAAAAAGAAGGAGTTGCACTAACTGAGATGGGGCTGGAGGAATGAAGAGCACCCAATAGATAGTTTACGACTAAGATAAAAAAGTTTATTAAGGCCTGGTCTAGGATGACAGCAGAGGCAGCAAATTCAAAGGCATGGAGTTGAGATTCATGCTGTAGACAGAGGTCAGCTAGTCTTGAGACTCAATGGACTTAGGGATAGAGTGTGGCAACTTCACCTACACACCGGGCTAGAGACAGCTGAAGCCCCAGCTAGAGGAGCAGGCTGAGTCCAGACTGACTACTGGTGGCTATGAGCAGCTCACAGGCCAGGGTAGAGACGAGTCAGTGCACAAGTTTGGGCCACCAAAAGAGAGAATGCTTTATTCTGCAAGAGATGCGATTGCTAAGATGTGTGGTCAGAAAGATGCCAGAGCCTCTACCAACAGCAGAACCATCAAAAACAGCTGAAAGAAATAATTTCTTGGGGCCAGAGAAATATTGGTACAATTGATTTGGACACAGACATTACCCAGAGGAGTCAGTTTTACAGTGAAAGCTGGTGAACAGTTGAGTGGAACAGAAGCTGAGTTTTGATAAGAGGAAAGCGTCTGCTGTCCTCTGAGTGGCTGTAAGTGTGGAACCCAGACCATCGGAAAAGGAGAGCTGAAACCAGGAGAACAAGTACGATTCCCCGCCCAGAGAAAAACACGATCGAAGCTTAGAAGAGAGAGAGTGAGAAAGATGCAGAAGTCCAGAGAAGGGAATTTGAAGGAATGGCCTGGACAGAATCAGCTGAAACAGTGGCTGAGAGATTGCTCCACGTGTAAAGCAGCTAAGGCAGAAAACCACAGCTTTCAGGGTATATACGCTCCACCAGACAGACAGAAGAGCTATGCCTGACTTCATGTGATAAACTGAAAGATAGTGTAGAAGGTAGGCTGCATGGCATAATCCCACCACAAGAGCATTAAAGAACGACTCCGAGATTTAACATTCAGAAAGTTATTAATAGCTCCTCTCATTTGCAAAACAGTACAAATACGATACACCAGCAAAAACAAAACAGAAAGACCTTTACTCTCCTTTTCCGCCTTGCTTTATAAAAAAATGTGGATTAAAAAATCTTTAACGATTTCAATGTTAATTTCAACCTACATCCAACAGTGAACCATCAACTTCACCGGCCAATCATTTTAAACTTTGCTTTGTTGGAATTTCTGGAATGTATCCCAATTGTTTTTTAACTTGGAAAATTTTAAAGTTTGAAAGCTTGGTAACAGTTGGTATTACCAATTGTTTTTTGTTTTCAAAAGAGCACGGTCCAAGGATCTGCTATTCAGTGACAGCGCCCCCTCTTCAAATATCCCACTGCCACTGCGGCTTCTGCAGAGCACAGTTTACGGGGAGCTTGTCAGGTGTGCTCTTGGATTTTCTCTGAGGACTAAAGACTTGTCAGCAATCATCCTTATGTGTTCTAAGGGACAGCTTAAATGACACGCTGGATTTTAGATGACTCTTTTACAAACGTTTGCATGTGCACTTGCACATATGTTTGTGTATTTAGGAAGACTGAAGGAACCCTCTCACGACTTAGTGTCCACCATGACAGTCTAAGTGGAAAAGAACAGGCAAAAAGATGTTGTTTTAGAATTTAAAGAGCAAATGCAATTAGTACAAAAAAAAAATAAAAATTAGAATTGTATTTCATTAAGATTATGATTTTCAATAACAAAAAAACAGGTGAGGTCAGAATTAAGAAAAATTATGATATTTACCATGGCAGAGATAAGAAGAAAGAGAAAAACTCTGCACATTATATGCTGGCTCACCAAAAAAGTCAAGTTGTGATAATAGGACAGTACAATAATCCGAAGATCACTTAGAGCCATTGACAATCTGAGTCACAGCCCGGTCTGTCACCAAACGCCTTTTCCACCCATCCCTGCATCACCGCCCTGCAGTCCCTGTTCTTCTGCCCCCAGATGACTCCCCTTCATCCTCCAGCTGGAAGCTCAGGTGGCACCTGACAGCCCCAGGTGGGGGAGGGGCTCCTGTGGGTCCTCAGCACCCCTCATGCACACTCCTTCGATGCCGCCCATGTCTTTGTCTAGAGTGCAGCCAGCCTGAGGGCTGCATCTCAGCCTTTACTCACTTTTAACACTGTACCTGGCCAACGAAACGTCTGAATACACAAATTAACGAGCCATGTTCTGCACCAACGATATGAACTGAAATATGTGGCTACATCTTAAGAAAAAAATCTAGCCCCTTGACACACAAAGCCGGGCAATTTGTAGGGAGAATTTGCAAGCTCAAAGCTCTGGGTCTTACAACCTTATAACATAAGAAGTGAAATCACTTTTGTTTGACCAGCATATTCATATTTTCCACAAAACAAACTAACAACGCTTGGCTTGGAAGGACACAGAAACCCAAATGGAAAGGTGTGTGTTAATGTGTCAAAGCTAACTCCCGATGGGATCTGAACCATAAAGGAGTCGTGTCCTGACCCTCAGGAGCTCCTCTTCCTCAAGCAGCTGTGAGTCTGCATTCCAGCTCTAAGGAGACGTTAACAGTGTGAGACCTGACCCAGCGGGTGGGATGCTGGGATGCGGAGGGCAGGAGAGAGGGGAGGCAGGAGTGCTAATTCCTGCATGGATCCAAAACCAGCGCAAATACCAACCACCCCAGAACAGGAGTCAGTTCCTTCTTTTTGCTCATCTGGAATCTCCTCCTTTTCCCCCTTTCTCAGCTCTGATCCACTCGTCAAAGCAGCCCCAACTAGGGAGCCATGGGCACAGTTCACGGAAGAAAAGCTCCAGACTGTAGAGCATTCCAGGAAAGAGGGAATCCTCGAGGCCACAGACAGCCCTGCTCCCCGGGAACCTACCAGCCGCAGGACACTGTCAGGGACAGTGACTCCAACTGTACGCACAGAAAACAACGCAGCCTGTCCACTTCCTGCAAGTCACTGAAATCTGTGTGGAAAAAACCCTGGCAGCAGAAGAAACGACCTCATACGACCACGATGGCAAGGGACAGACAGAGGCATGTCGGAAGACTGTAAATAACGTCAACAGACTTTTGAAAACCAGCTTACAGTGAATTTCACAAATTTGGGTTCTTGAATAAGAATAAAAAAAGAGATGCAATAGAGGAGCTGGGCTCCCCAGTGGAAACATTAACTCAACAAAACGCACTTGAACTCTAGAAAAGTTAGGGGTCATGCGCTGGAAAGACTGTGGCAACCTAAGTTGGCTCTAGTCTTAAACCACCCAGACCCTGCAAACTGGAGCCACGTGGAGCAGACACTCATCTTCCCAAGGCGCACAAGGAGAGGCTCCTGTTTAGCAACTCTGCACAAATGACACGAAAGTGAGGAGGAGGTGGCGGCAGCGTCCTCGCTCTATGTTCTGGAGGACGGTGACTGCGGAGAGCTCTGGCCTCGGCCTCCTGGGGAGCTCTTCCCATGACCCTGCTGGCGAGGGGGTCGTGTGGCAAACACTGCACTTGCTCACCTTTTGCGAGGGCCTTAGGCAGCAGAAGGAAAATCAGACGCTCAGCCCTAGGGCTCGTGCTTTTCCAGGCAGCGTACTGGCCGCATCTGTCTACGTGTTCAATGGCAGCATTATTTTAACACGGAAAGCAGGACGCACCTGGCAGCGCACAGGCTCCTAACTGTTCACGTAAAAAGAGCCATATGCTCTATGTGCTCATATCATTTTAGGTGTAAAATGTGAGCTGAGCCATTCTGCCTCTACAGACACATTCGTCCACTGCCACAGCCAACCATGACCACGATACAAGTGGCAGTGAAAACGACCCTAATCCCGGGCAGGACTTTCCTGTTGCTGAAAATTCAGTCCCATGCTTCTCTCATACTAAACTCTGTTTCACAAGGAAGCTGTGAACTGGGGAGGGCACACAACAGACAGAGCACGGCCACCACCACACCATCCGTCTGTCTGTCCACCATCCTAGAGGAGAAGGAACCTCCCCCCTAGGGTCCCCGAAAGACCAACGAGGCGAGGGTACCGAGCTGCTTCTCTCGCTCCTGACGGCGCTCCCGGGCCAGCCGCTGCCGGTCATCCACGCGCAGCACAGGCGGGGGGTCTGAAATGAGAGGAGAACACAGAGGAGCAGCAGGTTAAAGAAGGGGTCATAGAGACATGCGCGATGAACACCTTGCTGTGCAGCGACTGACGGATGAGACATCCCCACACGTCTTCCAGCAATTAGACGCGGGGCTGCAGTGTCAGCAACACGCTTGATCACAATTTTTCTGAGAATTCCCAAGCGTTTTTGCTCAAGCATCTTTATTCTATTTATAAACATGATACAAGAGAGCAGATCCTAAGAGCTCTTATCACAAGGAAAAAAAACCCTTTTTTTGTATTTATATGAGATGACGGATGTTAACTAAACGTACTGGGGTAATCATTTCACAACAGATGTGAGTCGAGTCATTATGCTGTCCACCGTAAACTTACACAGTGCTTTGCGTCAATTATATCTCAATAAAATTGGAAGAAAATTTTAAAAAAAGAGGCACAGCCAAAAAAAAAAAACCCATTATGTACAAATATAACGTAACAGTAACCTTTTGGCTATTTTCATCAAAAAATATGTATGATGTTTTGTGTTCCTAAAGCTACTGAACTTCCACTATTTTTACGCTGAGAAAGTCTGTTCCTTCACAACAAGCAGAGAGCTAAGTGAATTTACACTGAACACACGTTCACCAGCGAGATGTTGAGCCCCGCTCTGGCCAGGCTGAGCTCGAGCCCTGTGCTGTCCTCACTCGCTGTGTAAACTGGGCTGTTACCCACCTCTCCAACCTTCAGCTCTGCCATGGGTTTCGTGGGTTTTCACTTATTACCTACAAAATGAGGATAAAACAGAAGCCATCTCCCATCACTGTAAGGATTTAATAAAATAACGCTTCTAACAGCCCTAGCGCGTGCCCAGCACGTGACAGTCTCAGGAGAGTCACTCACTCGGTGCTCACCCTGCACACTGTGGTGCCCAGGCTGTCCACGTGCTAGAGAGGAAGCAGTCAACAGAAAGACAGAAACCTCCACCGACCAAATGGGGCTTGCTTTCAACTCAGGGAAAATTTAATTAGCAGGATAAATAAGTAAGACATAGAGAACATGAGACTGAGATAAATGCTAAAGAGACAACGAAGCAATAAAGGGGACTGTGAACGGCAGGAAGGGGACGTTTAACATGCCGACAGTGGCCCCGGGAAGTCTAACTGTCATGGTGACTTTTAGGTGCAAACACCTGATGGAGGGTAGGGAGCTACCCCTGCAGACATTCCAGGAGATGGAAGGCAAGTGCAAAGGCCCTGAGGTTGCAAGTACCTAACGTGTTCAAGAAACAACAGGGAGACCCAAGCCACTGGAGCAGAGTGAGATCAGCACGCCATGGGGCCAGAGCCTCGGGGCCTGCTGGGGACTTTGGGTTACACTCTGGTGAGACGTCACTGGGGGTTTCCAGCTGAGGGCGACACTACTGGGCTTGTTCTGCCTGTTAATATACAAAAAGCAATATAATGACGATGCTGATAATAACTACACTTGAAATAGGCCGTATTTCCCCTCTACTTAACTGACATCACAATTCTCACATCTCACGTTGAAAACAGAATCCCACTGGAACATTAGAAACACGTGGTGGCACCTCCTCCACGCATTTAGAGGCCCTGCGCCCACAGGCCTGTCACAGAACTTGCACACTCAGGGAGTGACACTGTGGAGGCCCGGGGGAGCCTGCAGGCCAGCGGGCGCCTCGGGGGCAGATGGGCCGGCACTTCACGCCTTACTGCATTAGCGCAAGAGGTTTTTAAAAAGTTGGTGATGCGACCCCCTCACAGAATTATCACTATGATGATTATTGTTCAGAGTTACCTATCATTTATGAGGTTTCAAATATTTTTTCTGTAGGAAAATATGGGCCCCGGCCCAAAAGGTTTTCTCCCGACACAAGAAAGTGGGTGTGGACGCCCCCTCGGGTGCTTGGTTAAGGGCCATGTGGCGGGTTTTGCTGTCATTTGTTTTTGGTAAAAGGAAACGACTGACACAGCAAAACGGTATTCTGAAGAAAGGATGATCTGAGAGCAAAAGCCAAAATGAAGTTGGAAGAAAGACTTTTAACAACTACTTATCACTTAAAAAATTCCTTAAATAACGAGGTTTACTCACTGGTAAAAACTTATTTAATTATAAAACTTGCAAATCAACTTTACTTATAAAAGCCATATAAGCACATTACATAAAATCTATAGAATTTAATTACTTTAAATTATATTGATAAACTCTATTAAGAGAATATGAAGTATGTGACGTTTCCAGCTTACTTTCAAGTACGTGACAAATTTCGCACAAAGTTTTAAAAAGAAGGTCTTAATAACAACAAAGGGGACACACACACTCACCACCCCGCCACCCTCTTCCCCTCAAGCCAACCCTGTGAGGCCAAATCGGTGACCAGGGTCCTGCAGGGAGGAGGAAATGGCCAACTATGCGACGTGATGCTTGCTTTTAGACGCACAGTGGGAAACCGGCAGTGCGGGACAGGGTGGAGCTTGCCTGATTTCTGTGCTATCATTTCATATGAAAATTATGCTCTTCACAGGCAACAAACCACACTCCGTGTGGTAACACAATACACGAGGAACAAGGCCGTGCATAGGACTACACAAGGACATGAGTTAAACACCGTAAATAAGGCCAATGCTTACAAAAGCACAGCGGCTCCCACCCGCCTTCTCTGAGACCAGCACTGAAATGGTAATCACTTTTCATTTGGAATTAGATCTCAGGGAGTAAAGAATTAATGAACACTTATAAAGTGCAAGATACACTGAGATTGTGATTTGCTGGATGATTTTGGTTGGTTTGGGAACCTGGCACTAGAAAATACTGAATTGTAGAGTGAAAAAGGTATTCAATTTAAATTGTGTCCATCCTTCTGATGACATCAGTAAGAAAGTCCCTCTGATGCTGGAATGTCAATAATGCCTGTGGCAGATTAAAGGTGGCTGTAAACGGGTGTGGGGAGGAGCCGAAGCTGGTGGGTTTCGCACCCGGCTGGGCTCCCAGGGCTGCACCTGGTGGAAGCAGCATCTTCCCGAAGTGTTCACTGAATGAATGAATGAGCAAAGAGCCTTAGCCAACCTTCAGAGCCTCTAACCTGCCATCAACCTGCACCAGGGGGCAGACCAATAGCAATCTCATATTTGATAACAGACTTCAAAAACTGTAAATGCTAGCAATTGAAATTTTAAGTTTTAATAACTAAAAACTGATAAAAATTATCTTTAAAGATCAGTTTTCAGAAAGGTAAAAATGCAATTGACTAGTTTCAAGGACAGAGAATTTTCTGTAATTCTTTGTCTCCCTCTCATTTCCACCCTCATATCCCTTTTCCCTGGAAGGAAATCAAGGTGGAGGAAATAACTGGACGTGGAGAAATTCCAGGTTCCCATCAGATCTCACGTTGTTAGAATAAAACCAATGACCAACTCTCAGTTTCACGAGAAGCAGAGCGTCGGTGCAAGAGCGCCCACACCTGCGTCCTGCGCTCCATCTCCTTCCACAAGGGCCAGAGAGCGGGGCCGCTGCCAGAGCGGACGCCAGTGCCGTCGTGTCCTGTCTGTGCCGACACGCACAAACCTGGCCTGTCCCGCGGAAACCTCAACTAAAGAGAGGCCTTGAAGACAAGAAAGTCCCTCACGCTGCCAGGCTCTTCAGGAGCTGCCTGGAGCTTGACTGCTACCACTTCCGCCAGGGCTCTGCGCTTCACAAGGCACTTTCACATCTGTTAGCATCTCTTCCTCACAATGGTCCTAGGAGTGAGCCCAGCATTTATTCCTTCAACGAAGAGCTGCTGTGCCTGTTTTCCCAATGGGAAAGCTGAGGGAAATGGCACTGTCGAGTGTTGAGCTGAGGCTTCAAACCAGGCCTTGGACTCCACCCTGGGCCCTTTCCACACCATGGCCCCTGCGGAGTCCTCAGGACGGCAGGACGCTGGAAGACTCCAGCTCCCGCGCTCCTCTGTGAGGGAGATCTATCGACACACCGCCAGGCAGAATGCAGTTTCAGGGGCTCTTGTAAAGACCTGGCGGAGGGCAGCAGACGGCGAGGAAGGAAGAGGGATTCTTCATGAACTAGTTTCTGCTTTTCCCGGGCACACGCAGGCCATGAAGAAAATGTAATTGTCTCTTCTAATTAGGTCAAACTCCTAATCATTTATCTCCTGCTTCTTCAGGAAACAGCAGCCACAGACGATCTGTAACTTTACCAAGTGCCTCTACTGGGATGGGTTCAAGCGTCCACAGCTGAGAGCTCTGGTCCTTCCTGGCCAACGGGAGACACCCTGTGTCCAAACGCGTAAAACACCACAAGGGCCATCCTTCCACGTTTGAAGGTCAAATAGTGACTCCCTGAATGTGGATTAGATGCTTTTAAACCAAAGAGAGGTTGCAGAGCTCCAGTATCAGAAGGTAGGAGGGCAGGAAATTTAACTAAAATATACTAGGTTAAAAGGGACCCTTTTTCATTTGGTCAGGAATAATCAAAATATCCTAAAATAGAGCATGCACTTTTTTTCTTTTTAGGTTCTAGAGAATGAAAACCAGCAAAGTGCTTTAGGCAGGCGTTCCCCTGACTCGCATCCCATAAAATCAGAAGGTTTTGCTCAAGCCTAGCCCTCCAACACGGAGCCGCCTCTACCACCCCCCAGGGACACACAGGAAAATCACACGGTGGTTTCAAAAATAAAAGCCTTATTTGTAGATGCAAGACAGCAGACACAAAGATACTCAAAGGACACAGTCTGAAGTGAAATGTCTCCTCGCTCAACTTGACGTTCGCCACGTAAACCCAATGGTCCTGGAAAGAGATGGCCAGTCGGGTGGGAAGCTTTTTGGCCTCTGTGCTCTCCAGGAACTCTGCATCTTGTCACACTGGAAGTTCCTGTACCTGTATATTGGTTTACTCCACCATCCTGTCAACTAGCTGGCAGGGACTGTGTCTTTTAATAATACATCCCTAGTACATACACAGTGCTCACACCAGATGAATAAATGAGTTATCAGGATAGAAAAGCATAAACTGCACAGTAAAGAATGGCAGATACTACAAGTGATGGTTGATGGGGAGAACCAGGGAAAAACAGAACAAACAAAATTAGAATTGAACCATGTTCAATTCTCATGGAGAAACATGGGGTTTTCACGCTAAAAAGCCCCACAAGGACGTTCCCTTGAGAATAAGGAACGATGTCCACTAGAACACACCCTAGGAGGACACGGAACCCATTCTTTTGCTCAGAGAGTCCCTCTCACAGGCCCAGGCATGGAACAACTACTCAGTAAACATCAGACGGTGGCTGGGTGATGGGCGGATAGATGGATGGATAAATGAATGAATGAAAAGGCAAACTGACTAGTACTTGTTATGCGTCTTTCTTCTAAATAACAAGCCAGACTTAGCTGCCCTGTCCAAGACCTTTCAGACATGGGAATAAAGCATAGAACAACATATAATGGGGAATGCTTTCTGTGAGGCTAGATAGTCGTTTCCATGTTTGTTCTCACTGATGCACCGTTCCGAGTGACTTCGGCCTTGTACTCAGCACGAAGCAGGGTTCCAGGAGCCCCACAGGGGGTTCCACCTCCTTTCCCTCCTTTGTTGCCTCTTACAGCACCCTGCACATTCGTCTCTCCCAAGGTCCACACGATGGCTGCTGGATACCTGGAAGCAACTGCACTGTCCATTCAGCCGTCTGTGTTATGTTTCCAGCTGTTTGCTCCTCTGTATTATTGAGTGGAGCAGACCATGAACCAGGGGCTATTAAATGAAGTCACTGTGCAGGCAGACAGTCATTGCAGGGCATGGGGAACAAAACATGATTCTGTACCAGCTTTGCTGCGTGTAAAGATCCCCTTAAGTGGCTTCTGAAAGAGTCACAAAAGAGATATGCAATAATGCTGGCACACAAGAACAAAAAATTGTGTCGTATCTCTCATTTCAAGCAGAATAGTAAAACTATTACCTCTCATACACGGCCTGACAGTGAACAATGCATCCACATACACTAGCGCACTGTCCAGGGGTTCTGAGAGGTAAACAGGACCCGTCTCTGAATCTCCACTTGGAGGGGAGAAAATCTAGGCTTTGAAAGCCTCGCTGGCTTGAACGCACACACACTAGCACAAGCGTGGGTTTCGGTGGCAGGCTGGAACAGCTCCCCAACCCTAGCATGCCTTTAAAGCTTTTGGGGTAACAGCAAACGCAGCCCCTCGTACCTGGTTTAGATCCTGGGCGGCTGCCGCTCTGGCCTGAGGCAGCTGTGGAGGGTTGGCTGGGGGCCGCCGCTCCCCTCTCCTGCACTTTGTAGCTGTCTGGGGCTGCACAGACGAGACAACAGAGCAGAGACACGCTGAGTTTCTTAAAATTTACTGAGAAACACCCACCTAGTCAACATTTACTGTTCACCTCGTATCAGGTACTAGGCAAGACTCAGTAAGCAAAAGATGCAGTTACCGCCCTGCCCTCCAGAAGCACGCGGTTCTGTGGGAAGACCCGCCCGAAAATCAACGGCCTTAGCTCAAGCGACCAGACCCGCGGTGGCCTGTCCAGGGCCCAGGAAGGCCCTTCCCCGCTGGCCCAGCCCACGCATAAAGCAACCACGTGGGACGTGACTGCAACCCACAGTCTGATCTGAGTTCTTGAGAAGTTCATGTGTTAGGAAGCAAACAGCTCCAAGAACGTAACCAAGCAGGTCACCAAAAAGGAACCACGAGACATAATTTACCAGGATTTTGAGAAAGCCTGTGACAAAAGTTCAATAACGAAGATGATTGAAGAGACTAAGGGAAATGTATCCCAGGGCAGGAAGGAAGGACAGACCCACCAGCAATTCTCCAGTCACACCCAGTACAGGTTCCTCCAGGACCAGGCAAATTTTTCTTTACATGTATTACTTTATTTAACATATATATCTATTTTTTGCTGAGGAAGATTCTCCCTGAGCTAACACCTGTGCCCATCTTCCTCTGTGTTTTAGTATGAGGGCCAGCAGCACAGCATGGCTGCAAACAGAGCGGTGTAGGTTTGTGCCAGGAGCTGAACCTGTGCCACCAAAGCAGAACGTGCCGAACTTAACCACCAGGCCACCAGGGCTGGCCTCTATTTAACATATTTTCAAAGGCTATTTAAAGGATATGTGCTGCTGTCTCAGATAGAAATCATGTCCAAAACCAAGCCCTTGAGTTCCCCTACCTCCTCTCTCTGCCTTAAAACCCGCTCCACCAGCTGTCTTCCCATCAAGGTGATTCCATCTTCCAGCTGATCGGCCCAAAGCCCTGGAATCATACTTGACTCTCTGTTTCCATCACTCTCGACAGTCAACCTGTTAGTAAATTCTTCCAGCTCTACCTTAAAAAAATACCACACCACCTCTGCCACCGCCTTTCAGAGCATCTCCTCCCGGTGTGACCTCAGCATCCTTCGACTAGTCCACCTGGCCCTCCACTGACCCTGTCAGTCCGTTTTCATCTCAGGAGCCGCAGCAATCCCATCGAAACACAAGCCGCGTGGTTCCTCTGCCCATAACTCTCCCACAGCTCCCATCCCACTCACTAACACTCCGTCTCTGCCACGGCCCGCAAGGCACGGCGGGGGTCAGCCCTCACCCCGTGCCATCTTCCCTCCTAATCACTCCGCTCCAGTCCTGCCGACTGACAGTCGTCACCGCAGGACGGGGGAGGGGGAGGGTGGAGGAGAAAAAGAAAATTGGCATCAGATGGTAGCTCAGGTGCCAATCTTAAAAAACAAAAAAGATTCCCAACATGAAAAATCTGGAAATCCTCGGTAGGTAGCAGATAAGATCACATATACTATTTCTTAATTTACCGTTAAAAAAATACCATTTTTAAAATGAGTCAGGTGACTCTCCAGTTTTATTTAAATCTCTTTTCTTTCATTTTCTGAAAAAGAAAACTGAGCCATATACTATGACGCCCAATTAGTCTTCGCTAGCCTTATGAAATCGGACTAATCGTCCTGCGAGCCTGAAAGCTGTGCTCCGTCAGTGCCACCCGTGGGCATGCTGGAGTAGAGAGGAGAGGAAGGACGCACAGGTGCCTCCCTGAGCCCCAGGAACGTCTCTCTAAATCTCTGAAACCAAATGCAGAGCTGGCACACACTGGGCCCTTCCATCCAGTGAAACTCCCGCAGCTCCAGTGGGGCGCAAGCGTGCCCGCAGAGCCCACGTCCTCTGCGCGTCACTGCGGCCCCTGCAGCGTCTTCCCATAGGGGCACGGGGTCCTCACTGCTCCGCTTCTGTTTCTGTCTGAATGGTCTGGCTGAAGAGTCTTATCTCCACTGATCAGAAGAACTGGCCCAACAAATGCTCACTTCAGTAAAAACACTGACTCTAGTAAGACATCTACGGGTGCGACCTCAGGGACCACCCTGAGTTTAAATCCCATGGAACCATACGGGGCATGACATCCACAAGGGTAACTATTTATGTTGCTATTTAAAAAAAACGTGAAATGTGGTTTGGGAAATAGCAAAGAGTCTAGCCCTTGCTCCCAGCTCTGTGGGAGTTGGTTCTTTGTCGTATTGTTCAACTGGACCTGGTGACATACAGCTACACATGTAGCTTTGGGAGAGTCACTGGAAGACAGAATAGAGGTTGAACCACACGCAATGGCCACTTCTGCAGTACAAAATGGCTCAGCATGCAACTTCTCCTTCTCAATCCACAGTTCAGTCCGCCTTGCAGGGGAGCGTGAGCACGGCAGCCCAGGGGCGCTACCCTCAAAAGGCCTGTTTGCTTCCCCCTTTGCCACACTACATCTCAGCCACGAGCAGACTCTATGCTGAGGCCTGAGTCTTCCAGTGAATCACAGAACCTCGGGTGGTCTTGGCAGACCCCCGACACACGAGACAAATAGCTTACTGGAAAATTTGGCTACAGAATACTGTTCGCAATTGAAGAATGTTATTGGCTTAAAATCATAACATACAAAGATAACAGAGTAACCTTCAGGCAATTCAGAGTGTTTCACCTAAAATTTCCTCCTTTATAACGCTTTTGCTCATTTACTTGACAGTTAAATTTTATTCTAATCTAGCTGTCAGGAGCACTGTAACATCTGAATCATAATGTTAAACGTTTTACCCGATGTTATTTATGAGATGTGCAGTAGAATAAGGACATGAGCAATCTCGTGACTCTGAAAGACTGTTCCGATTCTGCACATGAAGGAGAGCTCCTCCTTAGTTTACATTCCCCATGGTTGTACGAGTGGCTGTGTAGGGATGAGCAAAGCTCAGGGGAGCCAGCACCACAGGAGCTGGGTTTAATTTCCTGTTTTGCCTTCAAAGGTCTTCCTCCCTCTTGCGTTGACTCAGCACCATGCTTGGTGGGATGCCTGTGCTCAGCACTGGAAAACAACGTTAAGCAAATAACGCATCTTCTACCACCTTCTCCTTCGCTGGCGTCCTAATTCTACCTCACCCCCAAACTGTGTTTTGAGCTTCTGCTCCCCCAGTAATTTCTCTCCTCTTCAGGAAAGTGGCCTCCTATTACAGCCTGAAGCGCAATCTCTCTGTCAGGCACCTTCCAGCCTGCGTTACCAAAAAGCCCTCTGAGCACTGCCCCGGCCTGCCCCTCGGGGAAGGCGCGCTCCATCACTTGCGACCACGTCAGAGCTGGACTCACTGTCTGCACAGAATCAGCAACCCCCGACGTCAGCCTCTTAGTCACTATCTGTGGCACCACCGTATTCCCAGGCTCCGAAATGTGAAGCAGTTTTTTCAGTAAACACCTGCAGACGCCCCAGGAGCCAGACACTCTCCGTGCACCGAGAGCTTAAGGATCACGGGCCAGAGCAGCCACACGCGAGGTGCTCGTGACCCTCCGGAGGGGACAATACGCAAACACGTGAAACTGCAACAATAAACCGATCCCATTTCTAAGAACATCACACACCACCGAGGACTAATAACCGACTGAGAGATGCAGACAGTGTGCAGGGAATCAGAGGTGGAGGACGGTGCGAGACGGGGGCAGTCAGGATGGACACCTTCATCAGAAAGACTCTAATAACCGACCGAGAGACGCAGACAGTGTGCAGGGAGTCAGAGGTGGAGGACAGTGCTGGCCGGGGGCAGTCAGGATGGACAACTTCATCAGAAAGACTCTAATAACCGACTGAGAGACGCAGACAGTGTGCAGGGAATCAGAGGTGGAGGACGGTGCGAGACGGGGGCAGTCAGGATGGACACCTTCATCAGAAAGACTCTAATAACCGACCGAGAGACGCAGACAGTGTGCAGGGAGTCAGAGGTGGAGGACGGTGCGAGATGGGGGCAGTCAGGATGGACAACTTCATCAGAAAGACTCTCAAGAGTGGAGAGGAGGCAAGACTGAGGAGTAAGGAGAGAACACTCCCGGCCGGGGCACGGCCCAGCAGGACCACAGCAGAACAGACGACCGCAGGGTCGAGTCGGAACTGGAGCTGGGAAGGCCGGCGGCTGACACTGAGACAGGCAAACAGGCCAAGGTCAGTGCCTCCGCAAATTTCAAGAGTTTAGACTTTACAACGAGGGCAACGAAAGTCGCTGAGGCCTGTCGGATGGAACTTCTAGCTCCAGTGGGTTCTGGGTAAAGAAAAGTGAAGCCTAGCCAGGCTGCTGGAAATGGATAGAAAAATGCATCTTAATGAAACAGTAACAGGAAACCAGACACCTAAGAACCCCGCTTCCTGCGTAATGTAGAAATTATTCAGGTTTTTTCACTCACCCCTAACATGCACCAACAGATAAGCATTTGAGATTAAGGGGAAAAGTGACACGAGGGAACGGGGGACCCCTATGCCTGCAGCTGCAGAAGCGGGGGCGGGGGAGGGGAGGAGCGGAGTCAGTGTGGCCACCTGGTGGGAGGCCCGGGCAGCCAGGGACCCTCCACAGGCTCTCAGCATCGCCCCTGCTCCAAATCCTGCCGGCAACGGGACCCCAGCCTTGAACTCCAGGGAGCAGGAGCAGTGGGGGGGATGAGGAAACACGGGACGGAGGCAATGCGCCTGGCTGGGAAACGGGGGTGTTTCTGAAGGTTACTTTGAGGCGGGTCAAGGAAATAAACTGTGGGTCGAGGCTGGTGGGCGGCTTTAATCTTCTGTGGATGCCACAGGCTGGCAAGCAGCCGCTCACTGTGCATGCTACAGGCGCCACGGCAACGTACGTAACCACGGATGCTGAGGAACAGTGCAGGGTCCAGCTTGCCTGTCTACACAGAACAAACCCACTGTGTGGTATGGTATGACATCAGCCACATTTAACCTGACACAGCAACAAGAACGATGAACCACTTCTTCAACACTCCATTGCTCATTTC